CCTTCCATAAGCCCGAATCGCAAAACAAGATCTGGGGGGGGGGGGGTTATTAATGTCACGTGAACATTACTTGATTTTTAAGTTGTGGTACATTTGGATTCCGGCTTGGCAATTTTCTCGGTATCTCGAGTACAGGATCCCTGAGCTCTATGTGGCCTAGACGCCTGAAACCTTAACCCTGCAGACTCCGCGTAGCTCATCTCAGGCGGGGCTGCACTAAATGGTATAGGGAGAAGAGTTGTGCAGATAGTGACCTATCTCACGGACTAGTGCCCTCAGCCAGGAATCCCACGTCGCTTCCTCAAGCATCCAAGAATGCGGGGATATGCCACGACAAGTTGGTTCTGTGGTTCTAAGATATTAAGGGCTTGATACGAGGATGGCGTTCGTTATGATTTTGGCAAGGGTATGTTGGCTTCCTGAAGAATATTTGTGCATATTCTTGGTCGTTGCTGGAGTTTCCTTGTAGGCGTCAATGCCAGTCGCAAGCTGCAGCCAGCCTTACAGTAATCAGTGGCTGGCTCTGCATGACTGTGCCTCCCACTGCACGCTCCCAAGCTATAGGCGCAAAATGCTTGTACTTGAACACAGAAACCTGCCCCAGGCCACCCAAAGTAAGATGAGTCCTATGGTAGATGCTGCCCGCTTTATAGTCACAGGACAAGAGTCCATGTGTTCAAACTGTCTCGCAGCGCCTGCGTGCCAGATCCGCGGAAAACTGTATCTCAAGCCAAAGTCCGACGCCCAAGATGAGAATTTCTTACAACAGTATTGTGTAATTCTGAAATATTCATAGACGTGGCCATGTGCCCCACGAGTTCGAGAACTCCCCCTCTCTAAAGCTTGAACTGTTAAGCCCCAGGCCTGGAATGCATTCCTCTGAACCCTTGGCCGGAACCCTGAGGGGTGGACCCAAAACCTAGAATTAGGTCTGACGAAGGTTGACATCAGCCAGGCGCAGCATAGCTTAAGATGTCTGGGTTTCGGTTTGGAACTGGAGGTTCGCGGTTCAAGGTTTGGGGCCTATAGGGCTTGGGAATACATCAAGATAGTCACCATCATAGTTTCCCCACATATTTTGTGTGTCCTCACGGTACCATCTGTTTTGCGAAGCCATCATGTAAGGTTGCCGTAGCCCATAGTTCGTGCCGATTGCATGAGCACTTGCACCCCTGGGAAATAGGCCGGATCAACCAAAACAGCTGTCTGGACGCAATTCTTCCCCGTGAACGCTGAGCAGGCAGGAAATATTTCTGTCCAGGGTGTGCGTTCGTTGGATTCATTTGCTCAATGCTTAGAGTCAAGCGTTGCAAAGCGAAGAGCATGGGATGTCGTAGCAGCAAGTGGCTCAGTTTTCGGGACAGTACGGAGAGATTGCAGACATTTGGCCTCTTCTCAAAGGTAGAAAAATCTCGTTTCTTGGCTGGTGCCCATTTGGGACACGTCAGTCGTTTGAGGTTCCAAGAGCTCTCCGTCGCCTAGGAAACAGGTTCCTTCGTTCAGTTCAGGGCATGCTACGCACCAGCAGCAGGAACTATGTTAACTTGTTAACCCAAGGTTCAAAAACACCCTACTGCTTTTCATGACCCTGTGTATCAGTATGCAACGATGCAGAAGTCATGAACAAGGGCTTGGAATGCACAGTTGGTACACTTGGGCTAGCTCGGAGCTCTCGGGGCTTCTCCGGCCCCCTATTATAATGTAAGGGCCAAACATCAGCACTACAGTGGGTCATCCTCCTGCTGATTCATGCTTTCACAGTACGAGTTTGTGGAAAGTTTCTGCTTGGGTTGGCGAGGTCCAGAACTCCACTCCAGCATCTATATTCCCCGACATGCTAAAAGAATGCATCTTACCTATGCGTCAACTTCCCTCGAGTACTCCTCAGCTTGTCACAACCTCCAGTGCCCAAAGAAGCCACAGCCACACAAGGATCGACGCGTTCAAACTCCGCAGAGGCTGCAAGCACTGCACTTCTAATCCAACACTGCGCTATAGATGTTGCGAGGATATGTTAGCACGAGTCACCTCAGTTTCCCCGAGAAGCGGAGATAGCTCAAGGAGCATTTCAAGAATGACCGCGGCAACCTCCTAAACCAGGACACCTATTTGCTCAGCCACAATCTCCAGGATTTCACCTCTTTTGAAAGAATGCCGTAATCTCTGGACTCAGAGCCGCAGGGCGCATCATGGCCCAAGCAGCCAGGCAAGCCCCGTCAACACAATTCGCCGGCATTTAAAATGATTGTGCGCGCTTTGTGTATGATTGTGTTTGATTCAATTGTCACGTCCATACCTGCCTCTCTTCGGCCCATACTGCGATGATGTTGAGGAGGCTGCAGAGTTAGCCGTGAATTTGAAACTCAGAATCCCAAATCTGAACCTGAAACCTTTGACCCCTCGACCTCAAACTCTACATCCCCTGTTGTCCTGTACCTTCAACTTGGATACTTGAAGCTGCAATGCTTGGGTTCAGGTGCACAACCGGCACGGCCTGCTTGTGGTAGCCGACGACGACCTACAGAAGCCCCTGGTCTCAAGCTCCGTAGAGGTGGGATGGGGTTTCAGGTTCTGCGTTGTGGGGGCTGAGGTGGGGTGGTGGGGGGTTTAGGATGTTGGCTGCATTTTTGAATGTGGTGCTGGTTGGAGTGGAGATGAAAGCTACTGGGGTGCGGATTGGGGGGTGTAGGCTTTAAGAGTTTGAGTTTCAGACTTCGGTTTAGGTCAGTGTTGGTTTGCACAGCACCAAGTTCGAAAGAATCTTCATGTACTACGTGCTGACATTCTTGCCTGAGCCTCCTTGCACTGCCTCAGGTCCAATACCAAAGCACACCTGGAAAGCCAATAGAACTCTGTGGAGGTGATGCAAATTAATGTTGTCCTCGCTTCACACTGTCGCGCCCAAACAACGCAAGGCCTTGAGCAGGCAAGTGCTGTGTTATGTTACAGGCTCATGCCAAATGTGCGCTGTGCAGGGTATCTTGTTGCCGCAGGCGCAACCTATCCGAGGAACAACTTGACTCACACGGTAAATGTCGGACATGAAGTAACTCCGCGAGTATTGGATGCAAATCATACTTGGCTTCCACTCCAGACGTTCTGGAGAGGGAGTTCTGCCAGTTGATAGTTGTCCTACGATGCCATGAATCGTAGTAGACGTTCCTGTTTGGGTTAGAAACAAGCCACTTAACAAAGGCATTGACCAATAAATTAAGTGCTCTCCGCCATCGAGGTTTTTGAACTATATTGCATGTTGAGACTACCCTTGTCAATCGGCAGGAAGGCCTGTAGTCCCGCTTCACCAGATGCAGCACCAAGAGTATCGAACTTGCAGGTGCCCTGCTTCAGACCCTCTCTGACAAGTTATAAACCAGAAAAGTGCCTAGCCTTACAAAGTAGGGCGCGGAAGGGTCGGCTGGCCACGGCAACGGAGAAAGCAAAAGGTGCCAGCACACTTGATATATTCTGAAGCCCGTAGACGGCAGGTTGGGAAGCGGCCAGGCTCGGAAAATGTGCAGGGATG